CTCTTATATGTTAACAGGTGAGTGGTGGGGTGTTGGTGGTAGCGTGATTTTCAAAGGCAAAGATTGTGACGTCTTTCTGCTACAGAGCCTGTGAAAACAATGACCAATCAGAATGCTCTAAAGTGGTTGATCTATATTTAGGATTGCCTAACACTACATATCATATTACATCTTTACCTTACACTATATATGATCACATCGTTACCTAATAAACATAAAATTATTAGTTTATATAAATAGATCTATAAGTTCTATAGTGTACTTCCTAAATAATTCTTTCAAATTATGATTTGTAGTCAGTATAAAATAATTTGTTCATTTAAACCTGGCTTATTTACGTACTCACTCTATAACAAACCTACTAATAGTAACAAATTCTTTTCAAAAGATTTTAAAGGAAGCTAGACTCTGCATAGTCACAGAGAAACTTGATAAAGAAGGCAAGCTAGACTCCAAAGAAAACAAGAGAAGCAGCTAGACTCTGAAAGACTCCAGAGAAGCGACTAGACTCCTAATATCCATGGAGAAGCTATAAAAGACTATGAATTGGAAACGCTAGACTCTGAAGAAGGCAAGAGAAGTCACTAGACTCTGGAGGAATCCAGAGAAGCGACTAGACTCATAGCCACCCCAGAGAATATGTCTGTTAGATTTACCACGAGAAAACTGGCTACAGATAAAGTGAAGTAATAATCTATTTAAGGGATTGGGGGTAAAATCCCCAAAGAATTTAAAGCCAAAATGGAACGATTATGTTAGTTGACGTAAGAGTGAGAGCCCCCAATCGGACCGGTTTTCCCTCTGCAAAATTATTTCAAATTGGTGTGTATATCTATTATGTGTTAAATTCCATGGATTGCACAACGAATAAAAAAAAAAGTTTCAAGATTTTATAACTGGGGGTAAAAATACTCGGGTTGCTGCTCGATTTGAGCATAAATGATTGTACCGGTGCATGTTTTCGTCTGTTTCAATCATATATCTACATATTGTAAAGAAAAGGGTGGGGTGTTCCTACGTTAATTTGACTCAATTTTTACTCAATTGCTTTGTATTGTATATAGGTGCTCATCAAATTTTCTAGAGATCAATTAAATAATCAAAAGTATAATATTTACATTCACTAGATTAACGAATTATGTCAAAACACGGATTCATTTAGATAGCATCTGCATGTGTTTTCGGACACCCGCATTACAGCGCATCATTTGCCTTCTCAGTAGAAACTTATTTCTTCATTAAAATGGGGAAAACAAAATATATGTATGTAGTACTTTAAATATTACCTTCACAAGCAAGTGACGACAGAATATATAATATAAGTAGCTTAAAAGCTCACATATCGAATGCACGATCAAAGCTTCCCGGTATAGGGCTGTTTTGACAGCGTTGAACTTGTGACGTCACATATGTGGGCTACCCATATCGAGGCGATCGCCGCTGAGCCAAAAGTGTGTTTTTCAGATAAATCACAATATCTCGGAAACAAAGTCAACTACGACGTTCGCACTTTCTTAGCCTTTGGTTGTTTTAAACGAAGTATGTTCATAGCTTGATATAGCAAAACGTTCTGAGTACATTTCTTGGGTGCGGTTAGAAGGAGGGTCGGCAATTATTTCGAGAAATAGTGTTAACCACTAAAACATCTAATTTATACTTCCTAAATTCTCAGATTAAGTTAATCTACATGACGCCTTATCACAAGAAGAAGAAGAAGAAGAAGATCATCTAATATTACTATACGTAGCAATAGGTCCAAACAAACACCTGTAGCAAATTCCCGGGTCCCTGTGCCTGAAACCACAGGTAGTAACCTTGTGGTCTTTACCTTCGAAATAACAAGTCGCAGGTAACAGGGGTGACCACACGTTTAAACAATAATAAATGTAAGGCCAGGTAAAAGCAAAGACCAGATGATAGTTGGGATTAATTCGCTATTATTTAGGATAGTGAAATCAGTGCTGTTTGTGCAATATACTTTTCAAAATGACTGGCAAGAGAGAGCAATAAAAAAAACTTCGGTTCAAGGCTGTTTTAAGGAGGGAATTACACAAGTAATTCAGATTTCAGATTATGTTTTCATCACTCAGACAAATGAAAATGTGTAACTTGAAGGTACAGCACGGAATTATATTATTTGAGTCCGTGGGTACAGCAATGAGTATGATTAAGCGTAGCAGGGTGCATAGAATGTATACATGTATGTTGTGTTGTAAGATGTATAGATAAGGTACATATAACTAAGGCTCCGGCTTCAATATCATTCATATAAATACTGATTATGATTATCAAATAATACCACTCAAGAGAATATCATAAGAAGTATACCTGTTTGAGATATAAGTAGAGAACAACGATTTTAAGAGAGAAAAAAACAATAATTACACGGAATTCGCTTGCATCATTTCAGTTGGATTTGTAAGATAATACAGGAATAATATTCTATGCAAACACATCACATTCACTTGTTTTATACATATGATGATATTCGTATCCACAAGGTAAATATTTCATCTCCTTTTGAACATTTGCGATCGCCTAGTTTAAATAAAAACAAACAATTACACATACGTTATTTAGTTTGGGTTGTTTATTATTTTTCGACAAATTGATTAGATATTTTTTGAGCAACAAATTCAGAATTTGAGACTAAAAAAATGAACTACCCACTAGACGTATCCATATGTATTGTTGATGTCGAAGAACCATTGTTCAAGACTATTCCCGTAACTTCACCTTGGAATAATATTTGGGGAAAATATAGAAATTAAAATAAAAGATAAGTGAGAAACCACCAACATCAAATATACTTTTAATCTTATGAATTCATAAAAAGGAATGTGTTTTTACGTCGTGTAGATTTACTGATTAGATGTTAAATGTAATGTACTGTTGAGTTCCAAACGGATACCGTTAGAAGTTTAATTCCATTTCAAAATGAATTATCAATATTCATGAAACAATAGGGGGACAAATCATCATTCTAAATTATTTTGTTGGTGCTGAGGGGGAAAAGGTTGCCTTTAAGAACATATGCATCAGCCGCTGTGCAAAAAACAAGCGAGCGCTGTATAGGTAAATACGGATCAGAGTTGGGGTCAGAGACTGACACGCTTCTGCGAGCAAGTACATCTAAATCTAAGTCCGTTATTTGTCTGCTATGAACTGCGTTTTAGGAGCGTGTTTAACCAAATGGTCTGTATACGTTTGCGTTGAGTTTGCGTTGCGTTTCCGTTCCATTATGTTGAGTTTCCGTTAAGTTTCCATTGCGTTTGCGTTCCGTTTCTTTTGCGTTTGCATTCTGTTTGCATTGCGTTTGCGTTTAAACGGACAAGAAAAAGGGTCCAGGGTCTGTAGCCCTTCATCCCAGCATGCTACTGGCCAAATATCATCACTCTGGGACTCTTGGTTATTTAGAAAAAGTTGTTTAATGTAAAATGGTTACACCAGACCGACGCTGATAATAAGTCAAGGTCATTGATTTGAATAAACATTGTAGCCATTCATATCCCAGCAGGTTATTAGCCTATATCATCATCAGAAGTTGTTAAAATATCTTAACACATTTGACCCTTGTGACCTTGAAATTGGGGCGAAGGTAGTTCATTTGATCAAACTAGGTAGCCGTTTAATCCAACATGTTACTGACCAAATATCATCAGCTTGGGCCTTCTCATTATTTAGAAGAAGTCCTTAAAATATTTTAAACATGATGACCCCTGTGACCTTGAACATAGCTAAAAATGTAACATATTTTTTTTGCCATTATCCCCTTTGTATAACATATCACAACAAAGTTTGCTGATTTGTTTTGTTATGATGTGCTTTATTTATAATTTAATATTACTTATTTAACATGGTCAAGAATGATTTTGTAATGGTGGAAATCTGTATAAACTAAATAAATACATATTGTCTTAATATGTGCCGCACAATTAACACTGCAAATTCTGATCTTCTTAATTCTCCCTCTCCTGCAGCATTAACAAATTATTTGAATAAAGATATTGTTTCTGATAGTGAATCTGTATCAATTTTCAAAACAGAAGGTAACAAAAGAGCAAATATTGTTTTATGTCAACTTCAAAACTCTTGTAGTAATTTAAACTATGATTTACACCGTGACCATCTTACTTATAGTCCAGCATGTACCTGCTCTGCTTAACACGAAACAGTGTCTCATTACTTTTTGGAATGTCCTATGTTTAATAATCAAAGAACTACTTTGTTCACTTTTCTTAATAGTTATCGCAACCACAATCACATTGATATAAACATTCTTCGCCAGGGCTGTCCTGATTGCGATGTGCTTACAAATAGACCAATACTTGATGATGTGCATATTTTTATTGGAAAATCCCATCATTTTAATTTTTATATGACTTAAAGCCACGATATACATGTTAAAACAAAAATATTCTATATTGCATCCAGGAGATTCTAGTTGAGCATGACTACTGACTATTACATGTACTTATCTTGACATTGTAAATAATTACACCCTTAATGTATTAAATGATTTTTTTATTTTTAATTGTAACAGTTGTTGGTAGCAGTGACCTATGCAATATATGCACATGGACTTTTGGTCTAAGCCTGCCAATATCTGTCTATGATAGTGTATATATATGCTGAAATAAATGTATTTGTACATGTGCTTGCATTGTATGTGTGTGTAAGTGTGTATGAGGTGTGTGAGATGTTTCCTTCATGAGTTACTTTCCCTTAGCCTTGTGTTAATTTGAATTATTTTGTGTTCATTTTTTCATTTCCAACATGTCTAAAATATTATGTCTCATTGTTTATTCCACTTTGGCCATTTGACGGAGAGAATTTATATAGGCTTTGCCTGTTAATCTATCCAATTGCCTATCACATCTTGTCAATAAAATTTGAAGATATGAAAAAATATGTTTAAATTGAGTACATTGATTTTACGTCTGCAAGCATGGACAATATAGAATGAGTCTCTGATGGGACAGGTTGGTAAGTTACCTTACCTCAAAGTCACTGGGGGCCCATTCATAGTCATCATCTGAACCAGATCCAGAGTCATCTGTCAAACAAGAAAATCTTCAATTAAATTGCCAGTAATTAAGAAAGTTTCAGTTTTAAACACTCAAACTTAATTTAATTTTTGATAACTTTACCTTCCATCACTGTTTATGTAAGGAGGAAAATGAGAGGCAGAGCACATCCTCATTTTACTATTACCACTGTCTATGTGAGGAGGAAAGATGAGAGGGGGGGGGGGG